ATCGTCTCACGCTGTTCATCACGCATGGCGGTGCGGGCAGTTTGCTTGAAAGTGCCACATTCGGAAAACCTCTAATTGTTATACCACTGTTTGGCGATCAAGTTCGTAATGGAAGGATAGCCGAAAAATTTGGCTTTGGTGGGCCTTTATCTCAACATAGAAGAGCGACAATTTTCTGTTTTTTTTATCCTTGGCAATACCCGAGAGCCGTGAGCGGTGGCGTCTTACCTTTTCATGTCTGAACATCACTTCGTATTACAATTTAAACTTTTGAGACATTTCGAATTTTTAAAATTAAGCGAATCAATTACTGAACCTCTAAAAATTAGAGATATGAGGGAGTCGGTAACCGAATGTTTAGGAGGGGAAATGTCGCTTAAGGTCGAAGTCATATTTGGTGGGCTGATTGAGTAATTTGTTCGCTTCAGGCATGATGCTGGATAAATCTAATCTTCGAAACCAAGCTGCATTGCTGGATGCTGTCGAAACGATCCTTACTAATAAAAGGTTAGTTTAAGTTTTATTCATTTTGCACAAAAAACCTATTTGTTCCCATTGGTTCCATCTTAAATCAGTAGGTCAGGTTTTAAGGACTGGCATTGATTACCTATTTCACATAGAAATGAAGCAGTTCTTTGTACATACAAAACCTCGCTAAGCCAATTTTGTTGAGGTACACCACCGCCGCTCGTCGTATCCGCAATCTTCTTGCTAAAAGACCATTCACTCCTGAAGAAAAGCTGGTGAAGACCGTGGAAGTAGCTGCTGAGTTTGGTCACATCCCTGAATATCTTGTTATGGGAAGGAATCTCAACTTCATAGTTTATTATAACTTAGATATATTTCTTCTACTCCTAACATTCTGCTTAGTTACTGCGCTTACAATCTTGTATGGAGCAACAAAACTTTTGAAAAGAATCAAAGTTGAAAAGGTTAAGGCTGAATAATTTAGTGAATGCTGATCATAAGGTTTGAAAATTGAAATTCTCGTATTTGATGCTATTTAATATTC